CCGTTACTTCTTACTTTGCGTTGCAAACTATTTTCAGCTACTTGGTTTCTTTGCTGGAGACTTTGCGGCTCCGGTGAAAAGCTACGGCTGGAACAGTTGACTTCTGGGCAATGTAGTTCTTTTGACTTGAGTTAAAGTGAAGGCTTACTGAAAGAAAACTACAAAATAGCTGCACTGTTGTTTTTGTGGTTTTGATATTGTGGTTTAACATATGATTCTAGTGCTTCGCCTAGATTATTCCAACAGTTATATCTCATTGGTACATCAACCTATCCGCACCAGATTTTTGGTGCGTCATCTGTTAGCATTTTTACACACATTGGTATTGTTTAACATTGACTCAAGTGCGCCCCCTAGATTATTTAAACTGTTATATCTCAATGATATATTATCCGATCTGCACCAGATTTTATGTGCGTGATCAGTGAGCACTTATAGACACATTCATATTGTTCTTTGACATTGGACTCAAGTGTGCCCCCTAGATTATTCCAAAATTTATATCTCAGTGATATATCTGATCTGAACCAGATTTTGGGTGTGTCATTAGTGAACACTTATAGACACATTGGTAATGTTTTTTTTAACTTTTGACTCCAGTGCGCCCCGGACATTATTCCAAGTTAAATCTCGGTGAAATATCATCCAATATATACCAGATTTAATGTGCGTGATCAGTGAGCACTTAGACACATTGGTATTGTTCTTTAACGTTTGACTCAAGTGTGCCCCCTACATTATTCCAACAGTTACGTCTCAGTGATGCATAATCCGATAGGAACCAGATTTTTTACACATAATCAGTGAGCACGTCTAGACACATTGATATTGTGGTTTAACATATGACTCAAGTGTGCCCCCTAGAATATTTAATCAGTTATATCTCAGTGGTATATCATCTGATCTACGCCAGATTTTGGGTACGTCATTAGTGAGCACTTCTAGACACTTGTATTGTTTAACTTTTGACTCCAGTGCACCCCATACATTATTCCAACAGTTAAATCTCAGTGAAATATCATTCAATATTTACGAGATTTTATGTGCGTGATCTATGAGCACTTACAAACTGGAAGACTGTTCTGTGGTCAGATGAGTCACGATTTGAAGTTCTTTATGGAACACTGGGATGCCATGTCATCCGGACCAGAGAGGACAAGGATAGCCCAAGTTGTTATCAACGCTCCGTTCAGAAGCCTGCATCACTGATGGTATGGGGTTGCATGAGCGCTTGTGGCATGGGCAGCTTGCATGTCTGGAAAGGCACCATTAATGCAGAGAACTATGTTCAGGTTCTAGAACAACATACAGTGAGGAAAATAAGTATTTGAACACCCTGCGACTTTGCAAGTTCTCCCACTTAGAAATCATGGAGGGGTCTGAAATGTTCATCTTAGGTGCATGTCCACTGTGAGAGACATAATCTAAAAAAAAAATAAAAAAAATCCATAAATCACAATATGATTTTTTAATAATTTATTTGTGTGTTACTGCTACAAATAAGTATTTAAACACGTGTGAAAATCAGTATTAATATTTGGTACAGTAGTGTTTGTTTGCAGTTACAGAGGTCAAAGGTTTCCTGTAGTTTTTCACCAGGTGTGCACACACTGCAGCAGAGATTTTGGACCATTCCTCCACACAGATCTTCTCTAGATCACCAGGTTTCTGGGATGTCGCTGAGAAACACGGAATTTGAGCTCCTTCCAAAGATTTTCTATAAGGTTTAGGTCTGGAGACTGGCTAGGCCACTCCAGAACCTTGATATGCTTCTTACGGAGGCACTCCTTGGTTCTCCTGGCTGTGTGCTTCGGGTCATTGTCATGTTGGAAGACCCAGCCACGACCCATCTTCAATGTTCTAACTGAGGGAAGGAGGTTGTTCCCCAAAATCTCTCACTACATGGCCCCAGTCATCCTCTCCTTAATACAGTGCAGTCGTCCTGTCCCATGTGCAGAAAAACACTCCAAAGCATGATGCTTCCACCCCCATGCTTCACAGTAGGGATGGTGTTTTTGGGATGGTACTCATCATTCTTCGTCCCCCAAACATGGCGAGTGGAATTAAGACCAAAAAGTTCTATTCTGGTCTCATCTGACCACAGAACTTTCTCCCATGACTCCTCTGGATCATCCAAATGGTCATGGGCAAACTTAAGACAGACCTGGAAATGTGCTGATTTAAGCAGGGGAACCTTCCGTGCCATGCATGATTTTAAACTATGACGTCTTAGTGTATTACCCACAGTAACCATGGAAACAGTGGTGCCAGCTCTCTTCAGGTCATTGTCCAGCTCCTCCCGTGTAGTTCTGGGCTGATTCCTCACCTTTCTTAGGATCATTGAAACGCCACGAGGTGAGATCTTGCATGGAGCCCCAGTCTGAGGGAGATTGACAATCATGTTTAGCTTCTTCCATTTTCTAATAATTGCTCAAACAGTTGTTGTTTTTTCACCAAGCTGTTTGGCAATTGCCCCGTAACCCTTTCCAGCCTTGTGGAGGTCTACAATTTTGTCTCTGGTGTCTTTGGACAGCTCTTTGGTCTCAGCCATGTTAGTAGTTGGAGTATTACTGATTGTGTGGGGTGGACAGGTGTCTTTATGCAGCTACCGACCTCAAACAGGTGCTTCTAATTTAGAATAATAAGTGGAGTGGAGGTGGACGTTATAGAGGAGGACTAACAGGTCTTTGAGGGCCAGAACTGTTGCTGATTGGCAGGTGTTCAAATACTTATTTGCAGCAGTAACACACAAATAAATTATTTTAAAAATCATACATTGTGATTTCTGTATTTTTTTTTTTAGATTATGTCTCTCACAGTGGACATGCACCTAAGATGAAAATTTCAGACCCCTCCATGATTTCTTAGTGTGAGAACTTGCAAAGTCGCAGGGTGTTCAAATACTTATTTTCCTCACTGTATGCTCCCATCATCTCTTTCAGGGAAGACTGTATTTTTCAACACGATAATGCCAGACCACATTCTGCAGCAATCACAACATCATGGCTACGTAGGAGAAGGATCCGGGTACTGAAATGGCCAGCCTGAAGTCCAGATCTTTCACCTATAGAGAACATTTAGCGCATCATAAAGAGGAAGGTGCGACAAAGAAGGCCCAAGACGAATGAACAGTTAGAGGCCTGTATTAGACATGAATGGGAGAGCTTTCCTATTTCTAAACTTGATAAACTGGTCTCCTCTGTCCCCAGACGTCTGTTGAGTGTTGTAAGAAGATGGGGGGATGCCACACAGTGGTAAAAATGTACTTGTCCCAACTTTTTGGGGATTTGTTGACGCCATGAAATTTGGAAACAACAGATTTTTCCCTTAAAATTATACATTCTCTCAGTCTAAACATTTGATCTGTGATTTGTGTTCTATTCTGAATAAAATATTAGATGTTGGCACCTCCACATCATTGCATTCAGTTTTTATTCACAATTTGTTTAGTGTCCCAACTTTTTTAAAATCCAGTTTGTATAAACACATTGATATTGTTCTTTAACTCAAGTGCGCCCCTACATTATTCCAACAGTTATATCTCAGTGATACATCGTCCGATCTGAACCTGAGTTTTTGTGCTTCAACAGTGACCATTTGTAGACACATTGGTATTGTTGATTCATGACATCACTTGAGCCCTACCTAGTCAGAGAAAAAACTGTTGATTATTGGATGACACTTCCAGCTTGGCACTGTGTAAGATATTAGACTGAAACTTTGTTCGCTGTTGATTACCACACATGACATGTTACAAAGCATAAAGGAAGTGCTTGTCAAACATTAGTCACAAAACAGGAAGTCAACATAACTCCTGTCTGTAAGGTCATATTTTGCCTATACTTGTAAGACCTGCAACTGGACAAGTAACGAGATGGACGGAAGGCGATGCCCAAGATTCGGGAAATGCGCCCCGTGGTGAATGTGTGCGGGATTGGCACAACAGCATTCGTGATGGCGACTGGGTGGAATAGCTGGAGGTCCTGCGGTCGCCGTAAGGCCGGAGCGGTGCTTTGCTGTGAGGGCCTCTAATGCTGCTTGCAGCTTTAATTGTATTTATTTCCCCTCCATTAATGCTTCGTTTTAGCTTTTCAAAATCTTCTTCTATTGGAATCCCAGTTAAGACTCTTGTGTTCCTATTTTCTCCAAGAATCCTTCTTTCAAACCCAAATTTTTTTACATACATTGTCAATATGCATTGCTTTAATTTTTTGTTCTTCTGTTTTGCATATTATCAGTAGATTACCATCCCTGAAAGTCTTGGCCATTTCCACATCACCTATCTTTTTCTTCAGTTCTCTGGATATCGCTATTGGACTAATGTTAATATGTTCATCCTCCTTTCTAAATTTCAATATCTTTGTTCTCCCCCCTCTCAATCTTCCTGCAATCACTCCTCTCTCCTTAATCTCAAAAAGTGCTCTGTGAGCATGAGACTCACATGCAGGGGAATACACCCTCGAATGGGGGGGGGAGATTTCCTCCCCTCTCGGTTTTATTGGTTCAACTGTAACTTGTTCAGTAATTTCATTGGTCAGATTTTTCTTTGTTTTATTTTATTTTTTTACCTTTGTTTATACGAGTACTCTAATTGAGTCACGAGGGCCCACCCCCCATGAGAGACATATATTGGGCAACTATGTGAGTGCCTGGGTGTGACGAAACTAAATGCTTTTGGCGGCAGGAAGCTCAATAGCCTGTCCACAAAAAAAAAAAAAAAAAAATCTGTAAATTAGCTGAAACACTGTATAAGCCTTGGGGTTCAAAGCCTGTGAAAAAAGGAGCAGCTTATACACCAGAAAGTACAGTAATTGTTTTCACTTCATCAATGTAGAATAAAGTGTAAATTATTGAATTCAAATTATTCAGATTTCAACAAACCGAAATTGCAAAATGTTAATGGGGTCTGAATACTTTCTGAAGATAATGTCGTTGTAAGCGCTCTTGTTTATGTGCCTGATTTTTTTTATTCATTTTGTCATTTACTTACTTTTATGCAGCAGTCAGAGAAGTCCCTCCCCAGGTCCCAACCATGTCGCTTCCAGCAGCACCAACACCCCCAGCTCTGCCTCTGCACCCTCGACCACCTCAGCAGCTCGGCCCTCCTGCTCCTTCACCCCCACCCTGGCTGCCCACTTCAATGAGAACCTTATCAAACATGTGCAGGGGTGGTCTGCAGAGCACGCAGAGAAACAGGTCAGAACCACCTTCAGACTTTATTTTCTCCTCGTTTAACAACTAAACTTTGTTTCTATCAAATCTTCAAGGCGTCAAGGCTACGTGAAGAGGCTCACACGATGGGCAGCATCTGCATGTCCGAGAACTGCACAGAGCTCAAAAACCTGCGCTCGTTGGTCCGAGTTTGTGAAATCCAAGCAACGCTGCGTGAGCAGAGGCAAGAGCACGCTTCTTCTGACTTTTTGTCACAGCATTTTAAACACTCTTCCATCTAATTCTTGTTCCCGCTCTTTCCCATAGGATATTGTTTCTAAGACAGCAAATCAAAGAACTGGAAAAGTTGAAGAATCTGAATTCCTTCATGGGCTGAGAACTTTGGGATGCCATTGGAAAAGAGGAGCTTTGGGAGGGAAAAAGGTGGCAGGAAAAGCCATTGCACATAGTTGAAAGATGGAGAAAGCAGTTGTTCAGTTTCTCTTGAACCCAGTCTTAACACACACATACACACACACACACACCAAGGAATCTGAGATTGGTCTGTTTGAACTGTTGGGCTGGGATACCCCAAAAAAAAGAAATGAGAAGCAATTGTTGTGGGAGGAAGAGTGGGAGGGAGAGGTTGATTTACAAGACATAGTTTTGTGAAAAGCCCACATGTAGATTTCTTGTAGATGTTATCTATGTTGTAAATATGTTTTGTAGATGGAAGCCATGGAAAGCCATGCCTATCAAGCTTTGGACATCCAGACTAATCAGCACCTCGGCAGCTAGCCATTGGCTAGCCTGTCCTTCATTTAACTCATCTGCAAACTTAGAGCTTTGTTCTGTTCATGAATCGTTGGACCACTGAGTTAGTTTCTGTGTAAACAGCAGGATGTAGGAACCAGTACTGGAATCAGTGAAGGTAGTAGTTCTCTTCAGATCTTCTTTCCATCCTGTGTTGGGTTGTGGTGGTGGTGGTGGTGGTGGTGGGGGGGGGTGTAACTCGGGTGTGTCAAACATCCCCTCTGTGCAGAACTGTACTAACTGCTGTCGATGGTTCAGTGATTTGCTTTCAACTTCTGGTGGCCCTGCATTATCCAGTCAGAACAAAACAAACCAGTGCCTGGTTGGTAAACTGAGTGATGTTTTATAAGACAGGAAAAAATGGGATGTAATGGTGTGCTGTTTTGGACCATTCCCTCTAAACACACCCCCCCAGCTTCAACCCTGCCTGTCTTGCCCTCTCCTAAAACATCCTACCTTATTACTAATTTTTTGTTCCTACTGCTTTTGTTTTCTTTACCCTCATTGACTTAGGTGGTACCTCAGTTTCATTCCTTTGTACAGTTGCTAACATGGCCATTGAGTTTAAGACAAATAAGAAAAAAGGGTTTATTTATAAGGGTTGTAGTGATGTGCAGTAAATCCACACAATTTCACCAGTTTTTAGGAGTGCGACAGCAGCTGCAGTCAATCGAAGTTGGGTGTAAGTGGAGTTCCACTTTTAAGACCGTGCGGGGCAACAAGAGGTCAAAAGCTCAAATGTGAAGAAATGTATGTATGATAATAAACATGTTAAAGTAAAGCACTGGTTATTTTCTTGGTGTTAGACTTGGTTCATACGTTAGTGCCTTGTTGAATGTAAACTAACCTGCAGGCCCTGGTTTCTTGGATGATCCGACGAGCAACACAAGATCTTCAACAAGCATGATGCACTCTCAACACCCCCCCCCCCCCACACACACACACACACACACATTTTTTTATTTTATTTTAAACCTCACTGTTGAATAGCAGGGACCTAAGCTGCAGAGCCTGTCCACCTCCTGCCTCATAGTATATTGAACTGAACTGCACCACACATTCAGTAAAGCTGACCACATTGTTGCTTTGTATATTGTTTCCTGAAGTATATTGACAAATGTAATAAAATATGCCTCTCCAGGTGATGTACTTGGGTTTTTAATGGTTACTGAAGCATCAGTTTCCTGCAGCTCGTGTGGTGTGGATTTTAATATTACTGTTACTTTTTTAAATAGATAAGTGTAGTTTAGAGTAAATGTGCAGCTGTCTTGGGAAGCACCCCTCACTAGTGAATTCAAGACAAAAGCCTTGAATGCTAGTGGAAAAAAGCACTCATAAATTAATAAAAATAATAAAATCTGGATTTTTTGTTAAAGGACCTATTGACAAAAGTTGTAAGCTTCAACCACCCAGAGCAAGTATTTTGGCTCGTGAGTTACCATGACATTTTCCATTCATCCATCTTCCTCTTGGAGAAGTGAAACGTCTTCTGTTTCAAATAAAGTCCAGTTGTTTTTTGTATTGAACGCTTTTTGAATTTATCATGTCCTGGATGACTGAGAATCTTCACCAGCACTATCTTCCTCTTGTTTTGAAGTCAGGTGTTCCCAGGCCAATTAAATTCAGTTTATTTATATATCGCCAAATCACAACAAGTTGTCTCAGGGCACTTTACAGGAACATTCACATACATAAAAGCCAATTAGTAAAGTTCTCTAAGGAATCCAGCAGACAAGTTGAATCTTGGCTTTGTTGCGGTTTCCCATCCTGAGCTAGCACGGTGGCAACAGCGAAAAGGAAAAATTCCCTTTTCAAAGGAAGAAACCTCCAGCAGGACAAGCGGCCATCTGCTTTGACCGGCTGGTTTGAGAGGACAGAAAGGAGAGACAAATGAACACAGAATGGTAGGTCCAGATATAGGTCCAAATGTACATGAAAGACAAAAATAAAACGCATTAAGGATAGAAAAAATAATTACAAATACAAAAGTTGAGCAGAGTAAGTAAAGACCGTAGCAGAGTGAAAAAGTGTGGTCAGTTTGTCCTCCAGCAGTCCAAGCCTATAGCAGCATAATATAAGGGATAGCTCAGGAAACCCAAGCTGACCCTAACTATTGGATTTAGCAAAAAGGTTGAGTCTTATGCCCAGTCTTAAAACTGGATACTGTGTCAGCCTCACGGACAGAGATTGGAAGTTGGTTCCACAAGAGGAGCCTGATAACTGAAAGCTCTGCCTCCCATTCTGTTTTTGGAAACTCTAGGAACCACGAGTAAACCTTCAGCCTGAGAGCGAGTGCTCTGTTAGGAAAATATGGAACAATAAGATCTGTAATATAAGACTGAGATGGGTTGTTGAGGGCTTTGTAGGATAAAGTAAGCTTTTGAATTCAATTCTGGACTTGACAGGGAGCCAATGGAAAGAAACTACAGAGATATATCTCCTACTAACTCAAGACTGGCAGCAGCATTTTGAATTAACCAAAGGTGTTTTAAAGCAAGTATTTGGACACCCAGATAATAAACCATTGCAATAGTCCAGTCTAGACGTGACAAATGCATGAACCAGTTTTTCTGCATAATTTTTAGATGTTTCTAATTTTAGTGATATTACGCAGGTGGAAAAAGGCAGTTCTAGTAACGTTTTTAATGTGGGGGATAAAAGACATGTCCTGATGAAAAATAACACCAAGCTTTTTAACATTAGAGCTGGAGGCCAGATTAATGCCATCTAAGGAGGGCGAAAGACTGAAAAATTAATTCCTATGGTGCTCGGGTCCAAAAACCAAAACCTCAGTCTTGTCTGTGTTTAAAAGGAGAAAATTAAGGGTCATCCAGGTTTTTATGTCTTTAAGACATGCTTGTAGTCTAAGTAACTGATTGGATTCATTGGGTTTTATGGTCAAATAGAATTGCATGTCATCAGCATTACAATGAAAATGTATCCCAGATGACTATGTTTAATAACTTTACCAAATGGCATTCATTCATTCATTCAACCCTTATTTAAACAGATAAATCACATTGAGCCTCGAAAATTCATTTACAAGTGAGACCTGTTTGGACAGACAAAAACAGTGGTTAATTGGACACATGTAGGAGTTGGAGGCAAAAAAAATTCCTATCAGACTTTTTTTTTTTCCTGCCTGAGAAAAAAAACCACCTCTAATATTAAAAAAAAACACCTTGCACAAACAAGCACATATTTGCATAGACAATCTGCAGACGGGGGAGACGAGAGCAGTCAGCAATGTTCATAGATGCTCTCGAGGTCACTGTAAGAGTTCTGATAAGGATGGAATAATCAGTCAATGTCCTCCAGTGAGATCCATAAACATTCTTGAGGGATGTCGAGGAATGGCCAAGAAAAACGTCTATGAGATCCGAGTCCTGAAATGATGACACAAGTTTATTCAGCTGGTTTCATCTGCTTATCAGTTGGAAATTCCTCAGGGAGGGGGGTGGTGAGTGTCAGATCACATGTTCTCCAAGCAAATCCAGATAAGATGGCCTTCAAGGGAGCCAAATTCAGATAAACACAGTTGTTTTGGGGATAGGCAGAACTTAATGACATCTACCTTGAGTCTGTGTTGGTCAACTCGTTTCCGAAATGTCCAAATTACAGGTCCTTATCAAAAAATTAGCATATTGTGATAAAGATCATTATTTTCCATAATGTAATGATAAAAAATGAAACTTTCATATATTTCAGATTCATTGCACACCAACTGAAATATTTCAGGTCTTTGTTTTAATACTGATGATTATGGCATACAGCTCATGAAACCCCAAAATGCTTGTCCCAAAAAATTAGCATATTTCATCCCATTAATGAAATACAAGTGTTTTTAATACAAACAACGCCAACCTTCAAATAATCATGTTCAGTTATGCACTCAATACTTGGTTGGGAATCCTTTTGCATGAATGACTGCTTCAATGTGGCGTGGCATGGAGGCAATCAGCCTGTGGCACTGCTGAGGTGTTATGGAGGCCCAGGATGCTTCGATAGCGGCCTTAAGCTCATCCAGAGTGTTGGGTCTTGCGTCTCTCAACTTTCTCTTCACAATATCCCACAAGTTCTCTATGGGGTTCAGGTCAGGAGAGTTGGCAGGCCAATTGAGCACAGTAATACCATGGTCAGTAAACCATTTACCAGTGGTTTTGGCACTGTGAGCAGGTGTCAGGTCGTGCTGAAAAATGAAATCATCTCCATAAAGCTTTTCAGCAGATGGAAGCATGAAGTGCTCCAAAATCTCCTGATAGCTAGCTGCATTGACCCTGCCCTTGATAAAACACAGTGGACCAACACCAGCAGCTGACATTGCACCCCAGACCATCACTGACTGTGGGTGCTTCACACTGGACTTCTGGCATTTTTGGCATTTCCTTCTCCCCAGTCTTCCTCCAGACTCTGGCACCTTGATTTCCGAATGACATGCAAAATTTGCTTTCATCCGAAAAAAGTACTTTGGACCACTGAGCAACAGTCCAGTGCTGCTTCTCTGTAGCCCAGGTCAGGCGCTTCTGCCGCTGTTTCTTTTTCAAAAGTGGCTTGACCTGGGGAATGCGGCACCTGTAGCCCATTTCCTGCACACGCCTGTGCACAGTGGCTCTGGATGTTTCTACTCCAGACTCAGTCCACTGCTTCCACAGGTCCCCCAATGTCTGGAATCGGCCCTTTTCCACAATCCTCCTCAGGGTTCGGTCACCTCTTCTCGTTGTGCAGCGTTTTCTGCCACACTTTTCCCTTCCCACAGACTTCCCACTGAGGTGCCTTGATACAGCACTCTGGGAACAGCCTATTCGTTCAGCAATTTCTTTCTGTGTCTTACCCTCTTGCTTGAGGGTGTCAATGATGGCCTTCTGGACAGCAGTCAGGTCGGCAGTCTTACCCATGATTGCGGTTTTGAGTAATGAACAAGGCTGGGAGCTTTTTAAAGCCTCAGGAATCTTTTGCAGGTGTTTAGAGTTACGTTGTTGATTCAGATGGTTAGGTTAATAGCTTGTTTAGAGAACCTTTTCATGATATGCTAA